GCGTGATTTCGTGCTCGATACGAAATGACGCTCGCTATGTTATGCTGACCGATTGACCTTCTTCGGGTGTTTATACAGTCGATGTTTGATTCTGTTTTAATTGTTGGTCGTTTTAGTGGTTTTCAGTGGAATATGGAGCCATCTGATATTCAACCGTTTATCATTGGAAGTAGAAAGACTGTCAGTGATAGATAGTATTGACAATTATAGGATGAATTACTTGAAACACCGTGACGACCAGACTGCAGAACTATATGCATTTACAGTGCATAATCTTCAGAATATCAATAAACCGTATTCTTCATTCGTATTTAATCTAAATGCACTTGTTTTAAAATCATTTGTGATTGACATGAAATTTCATTTCCAAACGTGTCTACGTGCATTTGAACAAATTTTTGCAGCCTGACAATGAACGTAACGGATCAGATGATAACCGTTCTACCACGCAGATTTTAATATTTAATAAATTATATCAAATCGTAATAATATAACGTGCACATTTTTATAAAAATATTTTGTACGACTGATGCGATTAATAAAGGTCCGAACCATCAGCTTTTGCGATCTCCGCTCAAATAAACGAAGCTTTAATGAAATAAGCATTCTATTATTCAAAAATTCCCTTGCCCGGTCACGTTCGTATCTCTATTAATTCAGACGGCTCCACTGTTTCCCCGCAACTTCGCGGATCGCAAGCTAATAAATTAATCGCGGAATTTCACCGGGAATTTCATCCACTGTTCATTTAATTCCAACGAAAATCGAAGAACTCAACGATCCGACACCGAATTAGAAAGTCCGACGATTCGAGGCAGAGTTCCACGGCACCGTGGCTCGTAACAATCGGAAATAATTAAACAAGTAACAGAGTACAGTTAACAAGACAGTGTAGGGATCGAAGACAATAAGAAAGACGAAAAGGGGGAGAATATCATAGCGACAAGACAACGATGGAAAGTAAATACAAGGTTGTTCGGTGCCAGGTTTACTTAACCCGTTAACCCGTTAAAAACCTCCCGTGGAGCGAGCAATTAAAATCGACCAACGACGAGTATACACGTCGAACGCAGAGCAAACACACGTATGATATATTTTAACCCTCGTACTAACTAACGAAACGTTCGAGTTCGTTCAAATCTCAATATTCTCAGATTCCCGTATAATCGTTCCATTTTCAGAACCGAAAAAAATTGAAATCCACGGTAATTTTCTCAAATCTCCACGAAAATGTAACAAATTCTGCTACTATAAAGATTAGTAAACAACTAAAATGTAGTAAAACAAATGAAGAGTTACATGTTTATCTAAAAAGGTAAACAGTTTATTATCAAAAAGATTCTTGTATTATATTCCCATATTTTGGCATAGCGTACCATTTTCAGAACCCCAAAAGAATTAAAATGCACAGTAATTTTCTGAAATCTCCACGAAAATGTAACAAATTCTGCTACTATAAAGATTAGTAAACAACTAAAACATATTAAAACAAATAAAGAAGAGTTGCATGTTTATCTACAAAGGTAAACAGTTCATTATCAAAAAAACTCATATTATATTCCCATATTTTAGCATAAACGTTCCATTTTCAGAACCCCAAAAGAATTGAAATGCACAATAATTTTCTCAAATCTTCACAAATATGTAGCAAACAACTAAAACATATTAAAACAAATAAAGAAGAGTTGCATGTTTATCTAAAAAGGTAAACTGTTCGTTGCCAAAAAAGATTCTTATCATTCTAAAATTCAAGATGACGTGTACACTCGTCGAACGCGATTAACTGGTTAAAATGTAACACAACGTTCGCTCGCAGTAATTGCGGATCAAAGGAAAAGCGGTGCAACGTCGAAGCTTTTGACGTGAACGCATCGGCATATTTCGGGGTGAGAGTTACGCTAACTACGGAGGAGCGGAGTGAACAATCAAGGGGTAAGCTAACGAGTTTTCTAAGCGCGTTTTCTTACGCGCGATCGAGGCCAGGCCGAGTTACAGCCACTTACCGGCGCGAAATCATAGTTCTAAACTGTCGGAGCCGCGGATGGTCCGGCCTCCGGTTGAAATTTCCTTCGGGAAAAGTTACCGTTCGACGCGCCTACGCGCGCGCCAACGGCATCGTTCTCCTGTCGAAGTTGTAAAATTAACCTCCCGCGGCCGTGCTTAACGAAACATTAAGCCGCCCCGTGAATTCTGCGCGAAGATTATTTTGAATACCGCCTCCACTTCTGGCACGTACACGCTTCCTTTTAATGCCGCTGCTATGCGGCATGGTTAATTAAACACGGGCTACTAATTTAGGAATCAAGAATTGCATTCGTTTACTCGCGAATTTCTTAATCGTGCGCTTCGCAAGAGGAATGATACAATAGTAACGGGAATTATTTTTTGTCAATTAAGTTCATTGGTAACGGAAGT